GGAAGAATGAAAGTAATTTACCTGCAAAACTCATCCTGATATCAATCCAAATCCAACCATCAGTCCTTGCCTGCCTTCACTGTATTATAAGATACAATGCAAACAAACAATAGATTCTCCCCTTATTTCACTCTTCCTCTATGTCTGACACTCTTCCTTGTTACACAGGGTTTATTGTATGTGTGAGGCATGTTTATTACGGAAGTCCTTTTTAAAAATATTTCTAGAATCTCTTTATTCTGCAGTCTAATACAACCACTATCAAAGTAGTATCTCTGCTATTTTAAGAAGCTATGAGCCTGTAAAAAGGGCAATGGCCAAAGGGAATGGCCAAAGGGAATACAGTACAAAATTATAATCCTTAGCAAATTCCTTGTCTTATAGTACCAAGCACTGGTCTTCAGCAACAACCACATAGTTAAAGACATACTGAAGCTGGTCTAAACCTGCAAGATTATGAAATTCCACTTTCAAGCAAACATACAGAACACTTGACAGAAGAATTTTACATTGCCCTTTCTTTCCCCATCAGAAAAGCAGGGGTTGGGGGGTAGTCTTAGATCAGAACAGTGGCTGCTCCTTAACTTCCTCCTTGTGGATAAAAACACTTATACCAGGAGCAGACTCAGAAAGCCACTCTCTACTGCCAGAGGGAGGATGGAAAACACTCAGGATTCATCAGTGAAGGGGGAGAAACTGAAGGTACAAATGCCTCTTCTATTGAAAAGAAAATCCTTTGTAAAATCTTCTAAAGAGAGGAAGTCAATGTTCTTCCATATCTTCAATCAAGCATAGTATTTTTCTTCCTACATAGAGTATTCCCAAACTTTGCTACTATTTTAGACAAGTTTTTTCCTCTTTTGTAATACCTAGGCATCCCTGCCATTCTCTTCTGTTAATTTTGACTTCATATTCTACAGAACTGATCTCCATGTTTCTTCCCAATTCTTATCCTTTTTTATGGTGTGCCTTTTTAGGCTTGTTAAATATATATTGAAAATGTAACACATTCACCTTGTTCAAAAATTTCAGAAACCTATGACAATTACACCTCAAGTAAGTTCACCTTGTAGCTGGTGGCTAAAACTAAAATACATTCATTGTCTCTATCTCCAGCAAGAACTAACTCAATGACTGTATAGAAAAAAGGAAACATCTGCATAATCTTTATCTCTTACACATTTTTCTTTGAATGCCAAACCCCCCAAATATCTAAATAAATTCCCTTGAGTCTTGTCCTGTCTTTAGAAGTCTGATTAGCTCATTTGGCCTCAGCTTTAATTGTCAGACACACCAGTAACTCAGATATTGTAAATGTGCTTGCAAGCTGCATATTCAGAAGTAGGTTCTTACCTACTAACATACAGTTCATTATTCGACGGATTAAAATTCCCTGAAATTGATAGAAACATTTAATCTAAATTTTCTCTCTCAAATCTGCAAGTTGCTTAAGTGCCTCCAGGCTTTGGCACCATACCTGACAGTTCAGCATGCTCCCTGTTAATTTAAAATTGACAATGATCTGAACAGAAGTACAGATCTATAATGAAGCTTGAAGCAGTAGAAAATTTAAATTAAAAAATATAAATGGAGGGAGTTCCACACATAACTTCAGGAAAATATTCCTATCTAGACAAGATAATGGGCCGCTCTAAGAAGATAAATTACTGTAAAATTTGATGGGAAATTAATTTAGAGACTGATGGATGTGTTCAAAACTACATATAGTACATATACTAGTAACTATCCTAAATACAAAAACCAAAGTTTATACTTAATTTATACTTAATTTCAAATTTAAATATATTGAGAAGAGTACTTTAATTCCCAAGCAGAAAGTATTCCAAAGTATACACTAATGCGAATAGGTAAGAAGGAACAGAATTATTTTTAGCAACAAATATAAGATTTAAAAAGTACACGTTAAAAAAAAAAAAAAAAAAAAAAAAAAAAACACCAAAAAAACCCCCACAAAAAACCAGTGTAATTTTATAATGTTTAACCAGCTAAACAATAGATGTGTGTTCCTCTCCTAAAAAAGAGTACAGTATTCCTTTTGTGACCAGTCTTTTGAGGACTACTTGGACACCAAAATATCAACAACTCATTCTTCAAGATAACCAGTGAAGATCTGGCCTCATCTGCATGCAGAAACTCACTCATTAAAAAAACAAACAAAAAAAACCCAAAACCAAAACCAACAAACAAAAAAAACATAAACCCAAACCACACCAAACAAAAAAAAAAAAACCCCAACCCACCCAAAAAAAAAAACCCCAACCCACCCAAAAAAAAAAACCCCAACCCACCCAAAAAAAAAAACCCCAACCCACCCAAAAAAAAAAACCCCAACCCACCCAAAAAAAAAAACCCCAACCCACCCAAAAAAAAAAACCCCAACCCACCCAAAAAAAAAAACCCCAAAACAAAACAACAAAACTGCTACTAGAATAAGTGTGCAAGAAGACCACACTGCATGCAACTCACTCCCTGAGAGAAATTCCAATAGTGTTCCAAGAAAAACTGCCCTCAAATGCCTCCTCTTTAGGCATGAAACTCATTCATGGAATCATGAAATTCCATCTCATCTCCCTGTGCTGTTAGATAGCAACAAAACCTCTCCACCTGTATTTCCCCAGCAGAAGAGCTAAAGGGCTGAACATTGGTTTGACCTAGTTTTGTACAAGCCTTTTATGAATGAAGCTATCTCCCAGCTTGAAGAAGAACTAAAGAATAATGGAAAAGGCAAAAATGGAGAAGAGAGGAAAAAAATGTAATGTGTTCCTTCTATGGGCAAATACAGTCACTGGGTGGGAACTCCAGATCAGATGTAAATAGCAAAAAGGAAAATCATGAAAAAAGAGAAAATTAATGTGGAGGTCTACACAACAATACTAGTTTTGTTATTTTCTCTGATCTTGGGATTACAGATGTCTGATATATTTATGATGGATTTGTGACACGAAGATTCAGATTAATCTTCTGTGTGGTACTCTGGCTGCTTGACTAATTCTTGGTGAGCCAGTTAGAGCTGGGCGCACAGGTATTCAGGTATCACAAACTCCAGACAGACCCAGAAGCTTTATTGATTAGTCTGTTATTTAGTCCATTTGCTTTAACAATTTTAAAGGAAATTGAATAAAAAATGCTTATGTGCTTTTAAAATGCCAGTCTACACTTATTAAATTCTTTAGAAGTGTCTCATAAAAACCTTTGCTATATGAAGACATAATACCTCCTCATTAATGGTCCACTGCAAGGACAGATCCATGACTATAGCTACAGGCCTGAACAGGGGCCTTATAGAACATTTAGCTCAATAGAGGTCAGCAAAAGGAAGGCTGGATGCTGCTTTTTCAAAGTGCAATTTATAAAAATTACATACATCAAAAAAGCCTGTGTGGGGCCTGAAGGGTATTCACTGGCATTGCCTATTATACAAATTGTACAAATATTTGATTTTAAGAATGATCTGTGGATACATTTCATTTTATTTTGAAAATATTATTCTACTACAGCAGCATTTTCCAGTTTCTAACAATAACTCCTGTCCTGCTCACAAACACCATTCTGTCAAGTTTATAGCCCAAATATATCAGAGTACTTCAGCAGGGCTGCAAAGCTGGGAACTGCCACTTCCACAGCTTTTCCAGCTTTGGCTTAGATGTCTGGTGTCAGCTATAAGAGCAGAAGTGAATACAGCTCATCCTAGTTAGGGATCTACTACAAGGAACCTTAGAAATCCTGAGTATTGCTTGTATCAAAATCAGCTTTTTAATTTTCATACAACACTGTTCCATTGATTTCAGCCAGGCTATTACAGCTCATAGAAGCTGAAGATTTTTCTTTTGTTCTGGCTTTAAAATAACATGTTTCAGCAGAACTTAATAATAATTTTTTTGTAAAAGAATGTTAAATAACGTAGAGCCATTTTAACTGGGGCACTTCAACAGAAAGAAAAAAATTAGTAATAAAATAATAATCTGAGCCAATTTTAAAAGTTTATACAAATGTATTATGATGTACTGTAAAATACATAATTTAAATTTGTTTGGATGAGAGTGATACAGTAGACATCACATCATTCAGAACGGACCATGAAGAGAACATGCATGGTCTTGCAGTATGTGCAGTTAGTGTTGTGAACACCAGTTCTCACATCTTATTTAGTGTGAACAGGCTCACAAATACTACCAATAGGGGCTTTTCACACTGAGGTATTTTGTTATCATCCCAGGCAAACATGCCCAGATTGCCCTGCTCCTTCTGATGAACAGAATTACTGCTGTAACCAGTAATCTCTTCATCTCATCTCTGGATACCTTCTGCAGAGGCCAGTAATCACCACCAGTCCATTTCTGAGAACAGCTCCTTTGACACTGAGTTTCCATGGATGGCCTGAATAGAACCTGCCTCACCACTGACATCCCTCAAATGAGCCCTGCAGGCTGACCTCTCTTTTCTCTTGTCGCCTCTCTTCTGTACTGGAAGTGAACAGTACTAACACACTGGACATTGGGCAAATTAATTTCTTAAGTATTTCCCCAGCATCTGATTGCTGGTTTGGAGAACATCTGGTGTGAAATCAGATGGAAGATCCACAAGTGACTAAGAAGCACAGAAAATGTACAGAAATACTGTATGTAGACATTGGAAGCCTTCCTCAAGAATCTGTATGCCTTTCTCTAATTAATAGAATGTGAAATTATTATATAAAAAAATCCAATGTTTGAAAAGCACAAAACATAAAGAGGAAGAAGGTATATTAGAAACTGCAAAAGCTACTGGCAACAATTATTGTTCTGCTCTCTCTCAACAGTACTGTCATTGTGATTGAAGTGGAATTCTTCAAAGTGTCACTGATTACCTTAAAAATGATTGGTATGGAATTAATTGTCGGATGAAACCTGTGCACACTGCCTCTTTCACACACAAGTATTTATTGAGCAACCGTGGATGAAAGATAAGTTGCTGAGCATGAAATGCCAGAAAATACTCACAGAAACTGCCTCCAGGATTTGTTTGACAGCATCAGCAGCATCTCTTTCACTGTAGTACCCCTTTTCCACAATCCTACAGAAAAAAGCAACACAATTAAGCACCAAGGTGAATAAACAGTGAAGGTAGATGCTGCTTTTCAAAAATGAGGTAGCAAGCAATCAAATTTAAATATGACCAGGACAGTGGAATGTCCCCAAGAGACTAGAAAATAGCCCTTTTGCAATTTAAGTTACCCTTGATTTCCAGTTAAATGAAATACAGGAGGTAAGATATCAACTGGATAAAATGCTCATAATATATGTACATGTTTAATTCAAAGTTTTTGAAACTTTCTGACACTCAAGGAAACTGAATTACTGAAAGACAAAACTATTCATCATGTAGGAACTGGTTTTTTACTTTTATATTTAACTTAAGCCCCTCCTCCCCAGTTAGTTAGTTAGTTAGTTAGTTAGTAGACAGATAGATAGTTAGTTATAAAACAAAAGAATTATGCTATGCCCAAACAGATCTGAATTATTCAAGAAAAAATGTTGATGTAAAACTTTACTAGTTTCAAGTTATTCCTCAAGTGTGATGGGCTGAACAACTGTCTTTTTTTTCCCTCAGTAGAAAGCTGGGGATGCTATATGCAAAGATATACAAGCTTTTTTACAACTAAATCTCTTTTTTCTTTCAGAAAAGCTACCTTTTCTTACATTGTCAGCAGTAGACACAGGTTTGCACAATGATGTACAAGCAGTTAATAAAAGAAGGATCTATCATTAAGATATCCTAATATTCTATTTAAAACACTCAACAGTGTTTTTACTAATGCTTTTAACTGAGCATAGTATTTGTGAACTACAATAATTGTCCCTCAGAAAGTTACCTTAAAGGTCAGACTTTTGATCTGAAGTCTTGATATTTTTAGTGTATTAATTTTTCAGAGCCCAAGAAAACATAGACAGATGTTGTCTAGAAACCGAACCTGTGGTGCCTACAAGATATTTTATAAAATGATGTTCTGCAAGCAGACAATCCAGTTCTATAAAACAATATCCTAAAATCCCCATGAAGCAGAACAGCAAGGAACCTTTAATGTCTGAGGTCACTGGAAAGGCCTTCTGCCTCAAGATCCATAAAAAGGCTCTGCTGGTGGCAGGAAGACTACCCTTCTTTCTCCCCACTACTCCTGCTCTGCACTTTTTATCACTTCCTTTCTCTGAAATAACAGATTAATGTTGAGTTACCATCAGTGCATTTCCACACAGCTTCACAAAACTGACAGGAAAGGTGTGAGTAACTACATATGAAAAGCATTACTTTATACTCATTAGAGCATCAAGTGATTAGAAGTAAGAAAAAATGCAAAGATAGCCCTCCACCAGAAGCAGAGGCAACTGGCATGGCATTGTGGGAAGCAGTCTACACAGGGATATAACCAATCAGCTGCCATTACTTGACCTTTACACTCATTGTGTTCACAGAGCACTGAGTCTATTCATGTGGCAGCAATAACAGCAAGTAAACCCTCTCAAGCAGCTCTTCTATTTCATCATTATTTCTTTGCTGCATAATTACTTGGGAATATTTCTAGAAGCTTGTTTGGTTTAGGTTCTTTGGGTTTTTTGGCAACCCTTCAGCTGTCATGCCATATGCACTCTTTTAACACCTTTGCTTTTTTTGTGCCTTCAGCCCTTCTCCTATTTTGGTCATCTGTTTACACCATTATGGAGAGTTTTACTGGAACTTATCACCATAAGGGGAAAACAAAGAAAACTTACTCACTGAGACATTATATTAGGCTTTTGCCCTGAAGTATAGGAAAGAGGTTGCAAAAACCTAAAAATTATGCAATAAAATGCCACATTATGCTTGAAGTCTAGATTACTCCTTAGCCATTTCAGGATGAATTATCCTCTTGTGTTGGATTACATTGTGAGACCTGAGCCCCATTAATGCTCTTGCATTCATTGCCCCAAATATACTGTCTTTGCTTTCTCCTCCTTTTTGATTCAAATGAAGTATTTAGTGTCAGCCAGATGTGCCAAATGTAGCATCCACCCTGCCCCAGGCACTGAGTCCACCAGGTGCAGAATGACCTTGTGCACCTGACTTCAGAAATGCATGAGGCGGGTTCGAAGGTTTAAACAGTATTTAGAATACTCTGTTTTTCCAATATATCTCAGAACGAGATCAGAGAAATAAGAAGTAATGCAGTTACAATTCAATTTACATTTTTCCTTTAATCCAAAAATATTCTCTATTTACAGTATGGTATTTCTATTTCTATTTTTTTGAAACACATAAACCAGGGGAATGAAAAAAAACCCAAACAAAACCCTTTAAGGCAGTCTATGGCTTTGTATTTTCCTCCACTCAAAATCAAAACCAAAGACAACAGGAACTTTCTGTAAATGCCCAGCCAATGTTAATTACCTGGCCACTGGAAGCAAGGGAAAAATCAAAGAGACACTCAAGGCTGCCCCCTTGACCTCAAGATGAGTCCATGCTGACTTAGACAGTGCTGGTGAGGATAGCATGCTGCTCTCATTATTTATATTAAACACACAGAAAGAAAACAAAAAGACCTTGTAGATGAAGCCTTGTAATTTGCATTTAAAATAAATAAATGTTATGAAGTGTGGGCCCATATTTCTGGAAAGCAATAAGAAACAACTGTATAAATATTGTGCAATGCACTGGATCCACTTGCCAGTGCTATGGGTGAACAATATGCACTAGCCAATTACAGATTATGTCATACAGAATTACCTTTCCAGTTTTCCAGAAGTCTAGAATTCAGACTTATTGAGAATAGAAACCTTACTCTTAATTAATAATAATATAGTAAATAGAAAACCTAATATTCTGTGACAGCGATAAATGAAAAAAGACATATCCCATTCTAAAGATGAAAATTTATTTCTAATGGTACACTGCTTTAGGACTATAACCTGGCTATTAGGCAGTAAGGCAGAGTATTGAAAGAAGATTATCCTGTAGTTTAGGTCATATAGTAATGCTGGGGGATCATTTGCATATTTATTTTTTGCATCCTCCCTGAGACAGTTTATATAAGACAAATGGTAGGTGTGCCAGTAAGACTCCTACCTGAGACTAATGTGTCTTCTTTAAAAGGATTTTTCAAATTCAGCCTGCAGATTAACAATTACTCATTGCCCTTTTTTCTATAATGGGAAGGAAACCTGCAGAAATATCCTATTTCACTATTACTGAAGCAAACCCCAACTATTTACATCTAGTTTACAGGATGATATTTGACAAATCATGGGTGAAGGAAGATTAAGCTTTTGCTGAAAGGATAGATAGATAGGAACAGCAGCAATAAGGAACTAATTAAATATTTTCTTTGATACGCAAATGAACAAGCCAGGTAGGCCAAGAAGGTGCTGGAGAGAAAAACTGTGAGGAAGATAGCAGGGAACTGCTTTAAACCAGAAAAAATGGGTGGAAAAGCACTTAATTTGGTGCTGCAAGCATCCAGGAAATTTAAGAACTTCAAAATGGAGACATTCTAGACTGAGGAAAAATGCAATGCCTGTTTGTGTACGATCCCTTTTTCATCGTTATGCATACACATTTATTGACATATACTGATCCAATTTTTACATTTTTATACATCAAGGCACATATTTAGCAGAATGGCTACTAGATGAACAGCAAGCCAGAGCTCTCCCAAAGCACCACCTCACTCAATCTTGTCTTTCCAAGCATGTCATCATATTTGAGACAAATCTGCCTCCTTCTATATAGAAGAGCTGGGAAATACTTCCCAGAGCCCCTATTCACCACCCTCTCCCAGTGCCAGCAGAGATGGAGATGTCCTTTGGGAACAGCCTGAGTCCCATGATGCTGAGACACATCCCTGCCTGCCTGCAGGGCTTGGGCACCCCACAGAAATCTGTGCTGTCTTGCTCTTTCAGCTGCTGCTGCTGCCCAGAGGTGGAAGAGCCTTGACAGGTAATGGGGCTATAACAGATTTAGCAGTGTGAAAACCACCCCAGCATCACGCGGCCCAGCAAGCATGTGGAAATGGCATAATGTGTTTGTGGGGAGGCATACACTGATGTTTTGGCAGCTTCCATCATCAAACACATGTATGTCTTCAAGTGTTGCATAATTTGCAGTAATCCTTGCCAGACTCCAACTGGCCTTTCCAGCATTTCTGTTCCTTGTGAGCACTGGAAGTTTTTTTGCAGTATAAATTCTTTAGTTTTGCAGAAGCCTCAGTGTAGCCTCAGTACCATGGAATTGCAGCTCTTGCTATTTTTGTAATTATATTTCCATGTTGCATGTCTTCATGAGTAGATACATAAACTCCTACCAGCATTCACCCCATACCTGCAGCCTCCAGTGTAATATGGAAAAACATGCAATGGATTTTACTCCTTTTGGGACATTCTTTCTGATACTGGGCTTTAATTCACTGTATCTTTGTGAAGCCATGGAAAGCAGTGGGCCATCCCAGTAAAGAGAGGGAGGTAGTGGCCACACCTGCTCTGCAGAAATTTTATTACTAGTAGGGGAAAAAATTTATTACTGGTAGGGCAGTCTGGCTAGGCTAAACACATGGGACCTGAAAATCAAGGAGGAAAGAGATGGGGAATACCAATGCATCATTTTAGAATCAATTTTCAGAGGAGTATTAAAATTATATTGATATACAATTTTACACTTGGCTAGAACACGTTTCTGAGGATTAACAGCAAGCACATCAGGCAAGGGAAAATAATCAGTCTCCTAAAGGAACAACCAAGTGAACATTTCATCAGAGAAGGAAATGACTAGGTTTGGGGTTTGATTTTTCAAAGAGTAACAAAACAGGGGGTGAACTATTTCCAAGTCCAGCAAGCGAAACAGAGCTTGCACAGCTGCACTGGTAGAAAAAGAAATGAAAACCACCCAGGAACCTGCTTTGAGCAAGGAGAGGACTCATCCAATGACAGGGAATGCTAGACTGGGCTAGTCACTGGCAGCACACACCTCTTTTGTGCAAGACTGACAGTGCCTTAAATTCCCAGTCAGTGTTTGCTGCTGCTGTTGTTATAGTGACAGCTCTCAGCTAA